AATGGCCCTATATTGACATTAACATGAACAGTTATGACTCCGGTTTCTTTTGTTGAACATGGTTGTACGCAACTTAGACAGGTTGTTACACAGGCGGCCCAATCTCAGAATGAATGATCAGGTGTTGCGGGTTTTTAACGGTTTTTATAAACAAATTTATAGTCAACCAAAACTATTTTAAAAACGTTCTTAAATTAGTCAAATAAATACATTTTAACAATAAAATATAGTTGAAATGATAGTATAATACCTTTGCATTCTTTTAATTACTCCATGAGCTGATTTAGAGCGGTTGATGTAACATTTTCTGTGGCCTACATTGTGTGTGCTCATCTATATATAATATAACAGTAAAAGGCTAATCACTGGCGCCACGACCGCATCGCCTTCAAAGTCAAATATCTCCGCTCAAACTTCTCGTACGCCAAAACAAATTCGATTACATCTTTTCACAAAGATTTCTCTTTCTAAATAATATGGTTTGATCGTCGTAGCTTGGGCAAATTTAGCGACGAACGGAGCCAAAATCTCCTCAATTTCGGATACTGTTCGAAATACTTAGGGCTGCTCGGGCACGATCGTGGACGTGACGTAATCAATACATACTGACAATAACGCCTTACCCGGGGTGGGACAGCATATCAAATCCGACGATGATTTGTCGCTTGATGCTGTCCCACCACACGTAAGGCGGTAAGGCGTTATTGTCAGTATGTATTGATTACGTCACGTCCACGATCGTGCCCGAGCAGCCCTAAGTATTTCGAACAGTATCCGAAATTATTTAGAAAGAGAAATCTTTGTGAAAAGATGTAATCGAATTTGTTTTGGCGTACGAGAAGTTTGAGCGGAGATATTTGACTTTGAAGGCGATGCGGTCGTGGCGCCAGTGATTAGCCTTTTACTGTTATATTATATATAGATGAGCACACACAATGTAGGCCACAGAAAATGTTACATCAACCGCTCTAAATCAGCTCATAGAGTAATTAAATGAATGCAAAGGTATTATACTATCATGTCAACTATATTTTATTGTTAAAATGTATTTATTTGACTAATTTAAGAACGTTTTTAAAATAGTTTTGGTTGACTATAAATTTGTTTACGGTATAAAAACCGTTAAAAACCCGCAACACCTGATCATTCATTCTGAGATTGGGCCGCCTGTGGTTGTTAGTGCTGTCCTTCAAACTCCTCTGTTCAACTACATGTACTTTTCAATTTTCTTTCTTTAATTAAGATTGTATTGTCAAACCTTGGAACGTTCTATGTAAGAGAAGTCTGACATATTTTCCAGTCCTATTTCTTTCAAAAAATGCAAATTGCGTGCCTGTCTGTGCTCATGTACTTTTATGTTCATCGTCATTTCTGTCTATGTGTCTGTTTACTTCTACTGTGTGTGTATTGTATGTTTATATTTTGTGCACTTAGTCCAAATGTCTTTTTCTTCATTCTCTTCTTCCTTCTCTTCTTTTAATTTGCATATGTTGAATATGTTAGTTTGTAAACGTAAAGTCAGTTTTTGAAGAGTTGTAATCTCAATTTTTGAAATGAAATAAATCGTACATACAGTGTTTCTTTGTATGGGTACCAAGGCCGCCCAGAGAATTTGCGGGGCTCATGATCAGGACAAATCTTCCCTGGGGCCTGACTGGAAAGTTTGGAAATTGCAAGGGGAAGATTTCGAAAATTTAAAAGTAAATGTATAGGATGTATCAAAATTGCGCGGAGAAGAACTTCCCCGCGCACAGCAAAGATTCCAGTCTGGCCCTGGGGACCCCATTAAATCATTATTTCTAGTTAGCTAGACCTTAACTAGACTGCATGTGGATGTACTGTAAGGGGCCCTCATTTTAAAGAACCTACTCAATTTTAGGCTTTCGCTCTCAAGTTGGGGCCCTATTAAGGTGGAGCCCAGGGCAATTCAACCAATTCCCCCCCCCCCTCCCCCCTCTTGGTTGCCCGGATGGGTACATGTAAATGTATTTTAAGCCAAATGAAAATAATTTTGTATTTAGTTTTCAGATATATTTGAGGTTTCAGTATTTGCCTGTGGATCCAAAGCAGCACTTTCCTTGCGATAGTAACCCCTAGTATATTCAGTATATGCATGCTAATTAGATTAATGTATATAAGGGTTGTTTTTGTAACATAATAAACAGACTAACAACATTACAGACTGCAGATAATCTGGAGCAGGCCCATGAAGTGATTTGTGAACCATAACAGCCTTTTGAATTTTACGTTGAGTTTGAAGCTTTTTCCAGCCAATACTTTCAAGAAGAGCATCAGCATTAGCATCATAGCTGGAAAAGGTTAATATCCCCGCTGCTCGATTTTGTAATTTTTGCAACTTATCGGCAAGGGTTCAATCAAAATGTGATTGGATTAACGAATTGAAAATAAACTGCAACATCGTACCAGGGACAAATATCTTATACGTTTTAGAGCACCAATGCCAGGATGCAATCTTTTTAGATAATCGATTAATATGCTCGTTCCAAGTTAGCTCCTCATCAAGATAGACACCAATAGACTTTGTGTGGGAAACCTGATTAATTGGCATCCCACCAATTTCTAATGATGGTGATGAGTAGAACGTTGTTATTCTTTGTCTGGAACCAATTAACATGAATTCCATTTTTGATTGATTGATTTAAAGTAAGCTTATTTGCAATTAGCCATTCATTTACACTCCCCTGGAGATTAAGGTTCTGTTCTATTTCGAGAACATTGTCACTAGCGAGCGAAAGATGAGTGTGATCTGCATGCATACGAGGTTTGGAATGTGCAAGACAATTAGGTAAATCGTTGATATATGTTAAAAACAAGAGTGGCCCCAGTATAGTCCCTTGTGGAACTCCACAAAGCAATGTTTGGTCGTGTGAAAGAACACCATGCATTCACAGAACATTTTTGCTTTCGATTACTTAAATAGGATTTAAAGCAATCGCTTGCAACACCCTGTATACCATATGCATCCAGTTTCAACAACATATTCGATGATCCACAGTATATTGATTTATTGCAGTGAGCGAGACCGGACGTATCTTGAGCCGCTCCTTGAAATTTGAAATTTTTTGAGATATTTTCGAACTATTCGTTATGAAATGGCGACTGCTAAACTCCGTAAAGAAAACCAACAGCTACGAGAGGAAATTGAAGAACTTAAAGGAAATTTGAAGCAAATAACCGCGGATATTTCGAAAAAGAACGAAAGCCTGATTGAACAAGATGGCAGACATGCTTCCCAGTCAACCAAGTCAACAGATAAAGATAAGTCCTTAGAGTTTATTAGTACTCAATTTTGTTTAAAAATAATACAATGAAGGAATTAAAACATATAAATCAACAAGTTAATATTATTTCAAAGAAATGCGAGGTCATAGCAAACGCCGTTGAGCAAATCGAAGATTATAGTTACCAATACAATATTAAAATTACTGGTATGCCTCAACAAAACTCGAATGAATCGGCCGAAGAAACTACGAGTATGTGCCTGAAATTATTTACTGCCATAGGGGCAGATGTCTCGATCTACGATGTGGACATTGCCCATCGTGTTCCTGCGAGAAGGCAATCTAACCGCGATCGAATGCAATTATCTGTAAATTTGTACGCCGTTTGGCGAAAGAAAAAGTTATTGCAGCCAGAAAACAAACTAGTAATGTTCAGCCTGAGCAACTTCATCTACCATCGACCACGAAATTAGACAGCATTCAGATCTACCAACATTTAACCCCACGCCTGCAAGAGCTGCTGTTTGAAGCCAACAAGTATAAGCAGGGACGCCGGAACTGGGGGGGCAGGGGGGGGGGGCGGCTGCCCCCCCCTTGCCTTTTGCTAGGGGGGGCAGAAGTGCCCTTTTAGTTATAAAAAAATACGTGATAAATCACATTTAGAACGATGGTTTTTGTCCGAAAATTATGAGATTCAGACAATTTACAGTTTATATTTCACTTCTGGTATGTCTGGAAAAAATTTTTGACCCCTAAAATGGTACACTGACCGAAATTTTTTTGATTAAAAAAAAATTTCGGAAGATTTTTAAGTTTTGCTTTAGAGAAGTGCCCTTGCTGTGGGTCCGCCCCCCTTTGCCTTATGATCGTTCCGGCGTCCCTGAGTATAAGCGGGCAAATAATTTTAAGTTCTGCTGGGTCAAAAATAAAATCGTTTGCCTACGAAAGTCCGAAAACGAACAGATTATCAAGCTAACCAAACTACAGGACCTTACTATGTTAAATTAGGATAATAAGTTTGTGTGTTTTCTTTGTTGTTTTGTAATATTAATTATATGGCAGTCTTGATTACATTTTGTCAGCCATCGATCTCACTTCGTCGCGCACCACTAAATATCCTTTACTATCCCTACAAATCCTATATAATTCAGACTCTGCGGAGGAAAGTGGTGTGAGGGCATGATTAGTTGAATGTTTGGTACGAAAACCAAACTGAAAAGAATACAAAATTTCAAATCTTTCTATAAAATTAAGCAAACGATTATACATAACCTTTTTATAAATTTTAGAGAAACTTGACAAGATCGAGATAGGTCTATAGTTCGTAAATATATCTACATCACCAGCTTTAAAAAGAGGAATTACTTTTGCCGTTTTAAGGTTATTTGGAAACATCCCTTTTTCAAGGGATATATTAATTACACGCATTAATGGTTTCGAAATAATATCAAACGAACTTTTTACAAGATGCATAGATATATGATCATAACCAGGTGCTTTTCCACCTTTAAATGACATAGAGACAATTTTTAGCTCATGTTCATTAGTAGGTTTAAGGAATATTGTATCACTCATATTTGGTCCAAGGAAATCTTGAAATACACAATTTGTTGGGAGAATCCTGCTTGCCAAGGATGAGCCAATGTTTGTAAAATATTTACAAAATCGATTTGCAATTTCAAGAGGGTCAGTGATCACTGTACCATTTGATTTAAATGACGATGGTAAAGATGTTTTCTTGCTTTTTGTATTGATAACCTCGTTTATTAATTTCCAAGTTTCCTTCAAGTCACTTTTTGCTCGATCAAATTTGTTATCATAATAAGTTTTCTTAGCATTTCTAATTAGATGATTTAATTTGGTTTTATACCTTTTGTAATGAAGCTCACGTTGTAAAGTTGGATTGGCGGCGCCACGGGGAGGACTGGGGAGGACACGTTCCCCCAGTTCTCTTCAAGGTCGATTTTCTAATTTGTCCAAATCCGGTGAGAAATTTCGGGGGGGGGGGTACGTTTGTGACATCAGTCCAGTTATTTAGATATAACTTAATAAATTCAGTCTTTATTGTGTGAATCAAAACCGGTATTAAAAGATCTTCGCTTTACTTTTGACAAAAGACCATTTCATATATGCGGCATTTACCATTAGCATATTGCAGGCACTGATTACGACCGCCGAAGGAAACCCATCATAATGGGTTAACATATTACCCAAATTAAGTGCAATGGGTAATGTGTGATGCGGAAGTTTGGTCCTGCTGCTGAGATGTGAGGGAGATATGTTAATTAATGCACTGTTCGCGCAACATATGGTCATTAGCTTCTTGGAATGCATCACTACACAACTGAAAGAGAAAAATGTTCGAAGGAAGAGATCCATCAAGTGAAATTGTGTGTGAGGGAGGCAAATAGAACCTTCGTTTTCGAATCTTGACGGTTAGACTCTGACGGTTAGACCTATCTTAGATTTTTCAACATCGGAAATATCGATGAGAAAGTTTACATTCCAAAAGAAATGGTACGAAGAGTACATATATATGACTGGAATATTCAATGTAACAACTGCAAGATTACATACGAGCATCATAGCAGCGAAGAGATGGAAAGGAAAGAGTCTAGAGAAAGGGTCCAAAAGAAAGTTTCCACCTTGGATTTGCTTGCCCTCCTTGCTCGAAGTTTTCAACAAAGATGCACCACCTTCATCCCGACTTGTTTGAGGTCGCTACCTTGCCTGTGACAGTGGCATCATGTGAACGCACACACAGCCAGGTCAAAATAATAAACAATAATTTGCGAGTTGCTATGTCACCTGATAGACTCGAGGACCTTGCCCAGATTAGCAACGAACGAGATCTAGCCAACAATATCGAACTTAGCAAATTAGTGGAAATATTTAAGCTTGCAAAACCTCATAAGCTTGTCATGCAAGGAGATCTACGATAACATATAGCCATTATTATTCTACCTAACAGTTATTTCCATTTGTATTTAAATATAAAATAATGTTGACTTCAATTTTCCTGGAAGTAGCAATTCCTTTAGGCAGCTGTCAATCAATGTAATCGTAATCAATAGAATAAGAAGGTTAGGGAACTCGATGCAGACATAATAGACCTATCTATGTTTTTGTCTTGGTTTATGCAAAAAAAATGGTCGGTTCATCGTCATGTGTGTATTGTATTTTTATTTTGCTAGAGTAACCAATAGTTACTATGTTTTTGTTTAGCTATTGTGTAATATTACGACCGGGTAATTAAACATGACGATGAACCGATCGTTCCTTGCATAAACCAGACAAAAACATAGATAATGAGGTCTTTTACTGTATGTCTGCATCGAGTTCCCT